AATCATGCCTTGCATCCAATGGCCCACTGAACTGCAGATGGATTCAAGTGCAAGGCCCATAATTTCCTGTGAATGAAACCACCCAAACTCAATAGCAGCCATCCCCTCACCACCTTCTATTGCTGGTAAAACATGATTCAATACACCCCCACCCTCTGGGCATCTCACCTACTAAAGAAAATCAAATAAATGGCATAATAATGCATTAGTCCATAAAAAATGATGTGAAGGGCCACAAGTAACAAAGACAACCATGAACCAGTTGGTTGCTCAGCGGACTGCTACCCTGGTGGCCATCCTTGGCGCAAAAACTAGTACAGGTGACGGGAAGATGCGTGCCAGAAATGGACCAATCAGAGTACCTGGTTTCGTATTTCCGCAACATTTATAACTAACTCCGCCCCTCTATTGTCAGTTGCGGCCATCTGCCTGTGTGATGCACCGTATCCCGTTAGATCTGCGAAGTTAAGGACAGGTCAGCTGATTTAGTACTAAGGTGGGTGACCACTTGGGAATAGTCAGTGTCGCAACTTTTTATGCTAGTGGTGCCACCATCACAACTCTACCAAAATATGTGGAGCTTAGTCTTAATTTTATAATATATACAAAATAACGTAATGCTCCACTGAACTACGCAAGTTCTGGATACAGCAGGATATGATAACGTAAGAATATGACAAAGAACCTACAAAAGGTTACTGGAGTTAATATGATAGACTACAAAAGTCGCAAGGCCAACAGATTAGCAAAAGATGTTACGGAAATATTATTATCAAAAAGAACTCCCCTTTGCCACAGTGAGCTACTGTGGCTTAACTATATATACTTGGGCGATCACTAAGTGGCGAGTTACAATCTACATGTGGCATTTCTAAGGTAATTCTACTGGCTTTATCATGACCCACCCAATGTCAGCTAAACCTTAGTTATAAATCTATTCTTGCCAGTATATATATCTCAGTTTCTAAATCTCATTAGTTGTAGAACCTACAGACGGCTCCACACAATTGTTGTGGACCGGCCCATACAACCACGACTTTATATCACTACTCTTTTATCAGTGGCAGCCTATTCTAAAACCAGGTCTGTGTTAGAACTAAAATGGTGTTATCACTTGTGACGGACCCATTGCCAAGTCCGCACCATTGTTAACAGGAAGTCATCCTGAGTCAATGCTATCCAACCGATTTCAACCATTCTTTTATTCTCAACTACTTAAATTGTCCCAACTGGCACCTAGCAATAAACTTTAGCTCTCTCTTGATTTCCAACCTAGTGCCATCTGCACTAAAAGTTTAAACCTAGAAACCATCTGTGTGTGCTTGCCAATCAAACTATCCATCTATTTCGACTCTACCATCTTCTTGCTTGCTGCCACTTTATTACCACAACATTGTCACTTATTTTTCCTTTTTTTACTCATGTTGCGCATACTGCTCACAACAAAGTTGTAAAGCAGGCCAGAATTGGACAGCTGGTCCCGCTTTCAAAGGAATCTCCAGGATGGAGTGGAGAGCACGGGAATATGCAGACAGAGCGAAGGTATCTGAAGCTACAATGCAACGTAAAATTAGTTAACTATTGATGGAGTTAGCAGCTTAGTAAAATCTATAATGAATAGTAATAAGAAAGCTTAAGGAAATATTACTACGAGACTTAACTAACATAATAGTGCCAATGGATGGCACTATGAGACAAGAATACGGAAAAGCTGCTGGACCCTGTGTTGCATACTTGGGTCCAGCTTATATACTATGACTAAGAATAAAGGATCTACGGTTATTGGTGGAGAGCCTGGCTAGGCCTCCGTCTCTTTTGGGCCTCTCACAGAGGCTGCCTAGTCTCTTTCCTGGGTTTTCCTTTATTGGAGATATAGGTGCGGCCTATTACAATTCCTCAAAGGGAGAAGCCATGCTCAGCTTCACAAAATATGTAATAGTATAACAGGGTGGGGAGGTCTTGATTAAACTGGATGTTGTAAACCATAAGGATTAAACAAGTGAAAAAAGCCAAATACTGTTCCTGGAAGAGGAAACAGGCCCGGTATTTATTCATGTTGCCAAACTAATGGAGACACGCCCTTGTGCACGTAGGCTGTGGTGCTCAGATCAAAGGATGAGTTTAGTTATTGAAGGTATCATAGGCTAGTAAGCTTTGTTTTTCTGAGAAACTTGGATCCTTATAAGGTGATCCTTTAGAGCACCTCTAGTTAATTGATCTACCACAAATTGTGAAGTGTAGTTTGTGATAGCAGATTTAATAAATAATAGTACCCCAAGGCAGGGTTGGGAAAACACTCCCCAAGCTCAGAAGTGCTGGAGCTTGGGCTATAAATAATGATTCTGAATCTCCGAGAGGTTGTGGCCCTGCTGGCTACTCCATAGTTTGCCACTTCACCTATTGGCCCTCCAGGATATGAAATGTAATAAATCGAAAAGTTGTAGAACAATAGGTCGCCTAGGTCAGGGGCCATTTAGACCATTAGCTGGTGGGAAATCTGCCAGAGGTGGATAATTGAAATGTTGCCATTCCCAAGGCCTCAGTCTTTTATCCTGGTCCTTGTAGTCGGCTCCATTTGGTATCATTGACCTTATGTAATAGAGTCGACCCTCAGGAATCTTCAGGAGGACAAATAACTATCTGGGCTGCACAAAATGCGTGCCGAGAATAGCTCAGCTGGTAGAGCGGGAGACTGTAGTTCAAACACGATATCTCTAGGTCCCTGGTTCAATTCCGGGTTCTCGGACATCTTTTTGTTTTTACAAGTTGCCTCTGAGGTAGCCAAGCCCTTGGCGATTTTACTCTTCCAGTGCCAATGGTGACTACCCCTATGGCACCGTTGAGGGAACCTGTATATTACTCTCTGCTGTTGTCGGGCCACTTTGGGCCTTGCCTAAGACACTCCCCTAGGAATGGTGGGTGACCCCTGAGCTAAGAAGCGCTTTCAACATGACCCACAACTGCTTCACCTTCAGAACCAGGCACCCCACGTCCTTTCCATCCATTACAGGTAACCTTATGCATACCTTTGAATCCTTTTTCTTTTAGGAACCAACCCGTACCTTTCCCTACCTTACCGCCATGGAGGAAGTCCGCCAGCATGCCGTGGCCCGCCTGGGTGAGCTACTCAAGCATCCCGACGACATCAACTTTAAGGTCGAAGTTTTGCGGCGTAAGCTGCTGAAGGAGAAACGTGTACTGGAGACCCAGCTCAACACAGACGTGCAGCGCCAGTTTGACGAAATCAAGGATGGCCTGCAGTGGATGAGCGGCAGCCAGGGCCAGGTTGAACTGGTACGCCGGCGCGTCGCCCAAATCGACCAGCTGTGCCAGGAGGCCAAACTCTGGATTCCGCACTACGAGCGCATCGCCAAGGTACAGTGTCTAAAGAACCTGAGGTCTCTGGAAGACCATTCGGCGGGTTGACTGGTCACCCCTCGTCACATCACTTCCGTCAACCCCTAACTTTACCTATCTTATGTCACCATTATGTCGGCTTCTAGATCTCCTGTACCCACCGCAACTTTCTGGCCACTATCGACTTTGTCAAGGAGTTCCGTACCTTTAACGAGAAGCGGCACCAGGTTGCCCAGCTCCTGGACCAGGCCGAGGCCCATATCGAGACGCTGGATCTGAATCTACTGCGGATCCACTACGAGTTGCGCCAGCTAGAGGAACTGCGCGACCGGGCGATGCGTTACACCGCCGTTGGCCACCCGGATGTGGCCCATACACTGGAACGGATGTTCGGCGACATTGACTCGCTGAGCGAGCGGTTTGAGCGCATTCTGTGGGGCCTGGCCGAGTATGTGTTTGAACTTGCCGAGCAGCTCCGTTTCGACCTTATCGTCCAGGTCTGCAAGGTGGTCGAGTATGAGGAGCGGCGCGACCAGCAGGGAGCTCTCCTGCAGCAGCGGGGTGGCCAGGACGCGATGAAAGTGGTGTCACCGGCGGCCGGGTCGAATTGGACGCGCACCGACCGGCACTACAAACGGACCCTACTCGAGCGACTGGAACGAGCTATTCGCCACCGGCTGGCCACCATGCTAGGGCCCCTGTCGGGTGCCGATGCGGCTCAGACCCTGGAGGCTATGGACGAGGCCCTAGCGGCATTCGGTCAGCTCACCGAGAACGTTGCTCAGGATCTGGCCCTGGTGCAAAACTATGTCGCTCCGTGCTTCCCACCGGACTTTGACATCCTGCCCTTTTTCGTCACGCACTATCACCGCGCCGTGTACGACCACGTCCAGCGGCTGCAGGATAGCCCCATGGACGGTGGGACTATCTTGGACCTGCTGCGTGTCAGCCGCGAGTACCACGTCACCATCTACGAGACCTTGGGGTTCCCGCAGGAGTGGTTGGAGCCCAAACTCCTTGAGGGTAAGGAGGAGGTACTCATACAGGAGTACATGGCCATCGTGCGCAAGAAACTGCGCGAGTGGGTCGACAACCTCATGACCACCGAAACCGCCGAATTCGTTAACCGGACCAAGGCGCCCGAGGTAGACGCCGACAATCTATACTGCATGCAGACCTCGGTCATCATGTTTCAGATCGTCAACGAGCAGGTGGAGCTTGCCTGCGAGTCCACCCGCGGGCGGCTTATCTTCGACGTGGTGAGCGAGTGCCACGCTGTGTTCCGTATCGCCCAACAGCAATGGAAACGGCACTTGGACGCCGAGTGCCGCCGCCAGGCCACGCGGGCCGCCGACGTCCCACCCGGCTTGGTCGACTATGTGATCGCATTAGCAAACGATCACCTGCGCGCTGTCGAGTATACGGAGAGCGTGTTGTCCCGGGCCTGCGAGGTGGTTAACCGGTCCTACCAAGAGAAACTGCACGCGGAGCTCTCGCTGGCCATGGACGAGTTTATGAACCTGGCAAAGGCGTGCTGTACGGCCCTGTGCGGGATTGTATTCGACGACGTCCTTCCTGTGTTTGGCCAGCTATTCACCCCGGCCTGGTACAAGGACGACATTTTGCAGGCGGTTGTCCTGACGCTCAAGGACTATTCGGAGGACTTCCGCCACCACCTGCACGAGTACCTGTTCGAACTGGTTATCAAGCACATCCTGGAACGGTTCGCCACGCTGTACCTGGACGCCGTGGCCAATAAGGGCGCGCGGTTCACCCGCCCGGCCAGCGTGACTAAATTCCACGCCGACGTGGAGGCCGCCAAGACCTTTTTCCAAACCTGTCTAGACGCGGCCACCGTCGATGCCTGGCTACAGCCCCTCCACCAGACGGGTGCCCTCATTGAAAGCTCGGCGACCCTCATTTTCCTCGATTTTTACGCCATGAAGAAACAGTACCCCGATCTGCCCCTCAGCTTTGTGAAGGACATTCTGCAGAAGCGGGACGACGTTGACCGGTCTCAGGTCAAGGAGATCATGGAGACACTCAACAATAAGGTCAAAAGTGAGCCCAGCGGAATGCACAAAACGCAAACGGTCTTCTCGCAACTGACCAACTATTAGCGAAGCGAAGAGGCATTGACTTTCACCCGGCCTCGTCGTTTATACCATATATTATTACTTGTCACGAGCTACCCACGCCTAACTTACAATAGTAAGGCCTTAACGGCCGCTTGTGGTGATCGAGCATGGCCACTTCGGCTGCAATAGGGCTCATCAAAGTTTTATGAAGGAGGCGTTGTAGTACATGTAGTGTAATCAAGGGGCCAACCCGAAGGCATCTTGATCCAAAGCCGTGGCCTTCCACCACGCACGATCTTCCCGTTGAAACCACCTCGACTGGACTTGCAACACGAACGACCGCAACTCCGTGGCCGGGAAAGGCCGACACTTTCCGACTTCGGAACCAAACTCGGCTGGAACCCGGCCCCCCCACCTCACCCTGGAGGAGAGGCCGGAACCAATACGAGACTCCTCAACCACACCAAGCGAAATCCCGTCATCCGACAGCGCGTCTATTTACGGCTAACAAACTGTCCATCAGTATTTATTCGCTAAGCGTGCAATAGGTACCATGTTCGCCTTGGCCTAAGCACCATTTGACCCATCCTCAAGCCTCGCTTCCTCCGCACCATATACTCGGGTCGTACACCCCATTGCGGTAGGAACGCGCGCAGACAAAGGTGCAAATACAATGTGTTGAATTGGTTTAGTAAGAGCGGTGAAGACGGTGAAGATAAATATGGGAAAGTGAAGATGCATGGGTGAGAATGATAAGGCTCAACTCCTATGAATTTGTTGGGTGAATTACCCGGCTGGGAAGAAGAGAGAGAGCAAGGTAGTGGTCATACTCGTACATCACCGCTATACTCCTACTGCGGGATAGGGTCTGCCTCCTTGTCTGTACCTGCCAGCACTCTGCTATCCCGAAGGGGGGCGGAAATGGTGAGGCCTGCCCCACTCCTACCACAACAGAGTGGCTGGTGAATCCACCACCTTTTGAAGCCAGCTGATTGATATTGGAAAACATTGACAATATCTGAGCAGAATTAAATGAAGATAAATCAGTCCGATACCCTTGCGAACGAGAGGGGGAGGGCGCCGATTTCTAACTGAATTTGAGTTAATATCCTGAGGTGCTCTGACGGTCGATGTAGCACCGCTAATAGCATTCTATTTATCACATCTAGGATAGCGTAACTGTATGATGAGAGTGACGTACAGAGGGTTAAGTTTAGGAAGGAGTTGATTCTTTGATATATTGGTCGAAGTGCCAGAATGGCGGATAGGTGCGGCAACGAATTATTAAGGCCATGCGATATGATGCATATGGTATGGGTACGGAGTGGTATGGGGTGGGCACATAAGTGGCCGACATCATTAAGTGTCTATGCGACAGAAATTGCAGCAGTGAGAAAGGTACGGCTATCAACTGGGAGGTGAACGTGATCCTTAAGGAAGCACCATCACACCAGAATAGTGGACGCTGTGCTGCTGAAATGGCTGGACCGGCGTTCCCAAGCCGTCAAGTACTGCGGGGCAAAGTTGTAGGACGGGGCTCCGTAGGCGTGGCACGAATCGACCATATCGCGGAATCGATCCTCGAAGAGACGCGGGCTGCACGAACCCAACATGTAGTCTCGGGAGGCAAGGTTGGACAGCTCGGCAAGCGGAACAATTGCCGGGAGTAAGGTCGGACGATTAACAACGGGGGTTATTCCCAACTTGCGGGCAGGCGCTTCTAAATCGCTGGCAGGGCCTTTCAGCATCAACCACTCGGCGACCCGCTGCTGGAGACTGGGCTTACGCACCGGCGGTGGAGCTGATGGCTCATTACACCGAACGGCCTTCACGTGTAGCACGGGTGTGAAACTAGTAGTGCTCAGACCCAGAGCACACTTATCCGACGCCGAGGCGGTGGGCTGGTGGGTGGCGGAACAGCCGCGTAGGGTGATAACCGACCCCGTGGATGTTTCCAAGCTGGGGCTGCGGGACACAGTGGCCATGGTCTGGGCGGGGCTGAGTCGTCTGGCAGCCGTGTGGGTTACACCGGTGCTTTTGGGTTCCGCAGGGCTGGGAGAGAGGCTGCACAATGTGGGGTCCCGAGAGCTCATTTGAGGGCGGCGGAAATCTGCGATGGGGCTAGGCGAGTCGGCCACCATGTCGCAAAGGAGAAGGCCGTGGCGCTGGGCCTGTTCCCGTGCCCGGCGCCGCTCGTACATGTCCGTACGGTATGACGTCCACACGGCCTGCACCATAGGATTATAGGCAAACAGCACCGCCCGAATCAGGCCTTGCGAGCTGGTCAGCAGGCCGACGATGTAGGAGAGGA